AGGCTCGTAATATGTCCTTTAGACACAACATCAAGCGAGCTTCTTGAGTTTCGAAGTCGGATTCATTTTTCAACGTTAATCTAAAAGCGATCCAACGATATTGACAATGTCACGATCGAATTGTCAAGAGACACTCGGTCACGTGGCTGACAGGAGGGAATCTCTTTTGAATCGCTCTGTATGACAACGTGTTACACGCTGGCATTGAGGTGTAACCTAAGCAGAATAGGCTAACCAACTAACCACGATACTACATCAGTAGGACAGTGAAAGGCGACCTAGACCAAGTATCTCTCCAGCCGCTCGCAACACAACGCTGAAACTTACCAGAGAGAGAGAGAGAGAGAGAGAGAGAGAGAGAGAGAAAGAGAGAGAAAAAGATAAAGAGATACAAAGAGAGAGAGAGAAAAGATAAAGGGAGACAGAGAAACAGACGCACGTGTCCTGCGCGCGTGTGTTTAGCAGCGTGTGTGCGGCGCGTGTCAGCATCTCATGCACATGGTGCATCCCTCGCTTTTGCTGCGTAGAGAAAAATAGAGTTGCAGCGGGAGTCGGCCGAGGTTTTCGCTCTCTCACGGGGATATTTTAAATCTCGCCCTGCTGTCGGAAGTAGGAGAGTTTAAAGCTTAAGTCGATTTACGATTTTAACGTTAAATTATTCTACAGACCTTTCACGACCGCGAGAGCGGAGACCTTATTTCCATCAGCGTGTTAAATAACTCGAGCGGGCGTTGTCCGTTCTCTCGTGATTTATTAATTAATTCATTAATTTGTCTCCCTTTTCCTTCATCTTTTAATTAATTATTTCATTCATCTCGATTTTTTTCGCGGCTATGAATAAGAATGCATCGCATTCCACGATGCATGTTGGTTTCCCCAAGATTGATCCACCGATATATCGTCCGCGAAATTTCTTTTTATCTTTCCCGGCCGCGTGCGGGTATACGTGGGTTTTCCTGGGAAAAGATTACAAAATGTTAGAGTCTCTCCATTCAAGCCTACAGGCGACATACCAGGGATAATTTATTACCGGAAATTTCTTCCCTGTAGTTGCGTCATCGCACCTGGTTATACGCCGCACGCAGGAATATAGGTGGTAGACGAAGTCACGTTTTCATATGAAAGGCTATGTGTACTATGTAAATACATATTGGTAGTGACCGTCGACGATGTTCCGGAGGACACATGCGTTCGTATTTGAAATTAACCAGTTATTGGAAAGTAAAAAAATAACATCATGTGTGTATATCATTATGTTTGAACCTGAATTTTATTCGATTCTATCTTCCTTTTTACATATACGTATAGTATTTTGCGTAATAAATTTTAATGTAGCGATTTGAAAGTTCGAAACAATTAATTAAATTAATTATTAATTAAATTAATTATTTTTTATTGATTAAATAAATTTTTTTGTATTTTTAATTAAACTGCAAAAATTGAGGATCGTTTTAAGCGAACAGAATGGCTGATATGCGCGACTCCGCGCCTGATTTCTGCGACTGATTCACTCGCGAGATATTTGTGGGTCGGAGCTGGTTCTGTCTGTGCACAGAAGAGATTTTCACTCTGGACGCGGAGGCGGTGAGAGGGCGAGAGTCTGCGACTTGTCCGAAAAGGATTTACGATCGACAAAAACGCGTTCTCGCAGAATTTCGCCATCGCGACCAGCCGAGCGACGAGAGAGTCGGGTCCTTTCGATTTCGTTCTCGTTGCGAGAGATTACAACTTCTCTCTCTCTCTCTCGATGCTCCCGGCTCTCGCTGTGTGAGAAAAGCACACGGTGCACGAAGATAAAAATAACAATTTTCGATGACCTCCTTGGCCGTCGAAAAAGAAAGTGCCTAAGTCTCTGCGTTCCGAGAGAGAAATCAATTCAACGGCGATATAATTTTTTTTTTTTTTTTTTCAGATTCAAGATGTGTCAAATGATTTACCAAAGCTTCTTTCACGACTCGCAATTAATTGCAATTGCACTTAATATAGGGTTGAACGATTAAATAAAATCTAATTGAAATTCAAAGATATATGGAAACGGGAGATCGTGAATTTTCTAACGTTACGTAAGATGATAAGATATGCTCGTTGATTAACTCGCAGGCGTTAGATCTATATCTGTTTTCAAGACGGCCGCGAACTTCATCCTAATTTTCATGCTCACACGGTGCCTGCTAGTGAATGGCGAATGTTATAGGGTCAATGGCGCGTAGAAACGGCGCCGTAGCACCGTAAACAGAGGGAGAGAGATAGAGAGAGAGAAAGAGAGAAAGAGATTTGTATTCTTAGACAGGATTTTAGGGGTCAGCCACCATACGTCGTTAAGCCATTAACGATGATATAAAATCCGCTCGCTAACGCACGCGATGATGTTCCGCAATTTCCATGCTGCTTATTTAGCATTACTGCTTGATCAAACGGCGAGTATCTGCTTTGAGGAAGAATCTGCGATGGAAAATAGCGATTAATTTCGCGAGCATTTCCATTTCGTTCGATTCGTTGTTCTCTCGTTATTATTGGGAAATTAATAACTTAAAATTGAGGCGACGGAATATTCGATGGCAAAGAGAGATGTTATGGATATCAAATGTTTTTTTCTACTTGTAACAATGTGACTTTAACTAAGTTCTAGTTTTTCCTATTTTTTAGTGCTTTTGAAAGTATATATTATGTTTATTAAGTTTTTATTAAACCCTCGAGAGGATAAATATAGATAAATAATACTTTCCAAAAATATGTTATCTCGAATTTAAGATAATGTATAATATTACTATTTTAGAATTATATTTTGTAAAATTATATTTATGATAATTTATGATAATAAATGATTGATAATGAAAAGTAATTTCCTGTAATATATGCGAAAACATGTTATTATTGGAAAGCAATTAAAGTCACATTATATAGAAAGAGCTACTTTATGTCTGATCATAAAGTCTGTTTTAATTCTTTTGACATAAATAGGTATAATTATTCGAAAATGCAAGATTGTGTAAATTAAAAATTTAAGATTACACAATGCAGATAATATACATACATATATGAAACTTTCATTTAACGAAAAGTCTATTTCAAACAAATTCAGTTTTAAAACTATTCAAAATAATAAAAAAGTCTGAGGTTCTTCAAATTCAAAATTATCTATAGAAATTATTTTTATAGAAATATTAAATACTTAGGATAAAAATTATTTTTATAGATAGATAGTGTTGAGTTTATATCGAGTTTAAATTTTGGCGTCTTATGGCATCGAGAGCGAGTTGTCGCTTTTAATGAGTCAATGTTGACTATGTTAGTAATCAGATCAGGGTTGGCATTTTGTCCAGCAGCGAACAAAACAAAAATTTCTTTCTCTTCTGCCGCGAGACCTCGTGGTGAACACGTCTACAAAAATATATTTTCTTTCTTGCGCTTTCGATACTCAGGTGATGTCTATTTTTTATTAAAACGCATTACAGTAAATAAAACTCGTTGATTTCCATTCACGGTTTTGAACGTCTTTATTAATTCATACGGCCAATCTCAACAGGTATGGACTCAAAGCACGTGTTAAGCGAAATTTATTTGATCGCGTGTTGAAATTTCTTTTGTATACTCTGTGATAAAAGTTTTGTGAAATGACAGATCTCAAGGCGTTTAGTATTCACAAATTTAATGGACAAAATTATCAACTATAAACTAGGAAGAGACAGATGGAGATATGCATAGCAAATAATAAGCTCATGTCATTCTCGGTTAGATAGCACGTCTGGTAACAAATCCTGAGACCTGGTTAGAAAAAGATCACGCGGCACAAGCCGTTTTAATGTGAGGTCTCGAATTGGAGCAACTAAAATATTGTATACGACAGACTGCACAACCTCGGCGCAGATGTGGGCAGTGCAAGCAGAGAAGAGATCAATCTGTGCAAGTATTGTTAGATAGGTTCATTAACTCTAGGATGAATGAGGAAAAAAGATGACTGATTAGCCAGGATCGCCGGCTTAGCACGAAGATTGAAAGACACATGCACTTGGAGCAAAAGGATCTTGTGGTGATTGCGAGGATACTAGAGAAGATTATCAGAACAGCTGAAAGAAGCATCAAATTTACCTTCATGGAAGGCGGTAATCATGGCGTGTTGCTTGAGAAAAATAAACAATTATTTTTATAGAAATTGCGGATAGAATTACGTTCATAGGCAGTCTTTTCGTATTTTTAAAAGGATAGAATATATACAAGAAAATTTCTTTCGAGATTTGTGTAGCGTATATCAATTACACTCGCACTTGCATATATATTTGATAATTTGGGGAGCGGATTTGCGCGTCGCGAGCATACATGTTTTCGAATGCGTAAGTTGGCGTGTAACTACGAAGAAATCCCGAAGCGAAAGTGAGAACGCGTCTTCGCCGTCATACGTATCCAGCTGTAGCGCGACGTTCTAGCGCACAAACTCCTACTCACGCTGCTGTCAGTGAAAACCGCACCGATGCGATAGCCCGTAGAATGGAACGCGAGGGAAATGAGGAAAGTCGGGCACCGATGAAAGTGAGAGGACGCCGGCTACAGGGTGTCTCTCAGGCGGATTATTCCGCAGTCGATCGCGAGAGAAAGGGGTTCACCTCTAAAGCAAAATATCAGCAAAAAAAGTGTCGTATAACTAATCATTATTGAAAAACATTATTTTACTCATTTGTGCACAAAATTATTTTTAAAAAATTCTATGTTCATTTGTAATGCAACTTAATGGTGCGACTAGTCAGACCAATTGATGAAAAAGACGTAATGATAGACCTGAATGAAATTTAGTAGTGTTCAGAGTAAATGTAATTTTGTTCATGATAAATAAAATTGAAGAAAAGTAATTTTTTTAAGTAACGTTTTAAATTATGTTTATATAAGTGTTTTAAAAGTATATCTGTGAAAAAATTGCAGATATATTATACATAATATGTATAGAAAATAAAATTCATCTAACGTCTACCATATATGTCTGACGAATTTTTCTCTTCTGGTTACAGATTGACCATTCGAATACCAGCCTTTTGAGCGGCCCAAAGATTTCGAAGAAGAATCTCCGTTAGAGTTAAAAGGAACGAGATCATCACATATCGCGCAGAGAAGAGAATAAAAATGGCGGGCGAAGATACACAGATCTTGTCGAACGGTAACGTGGAGGCCCTGACGATCATTCCGCCGACGATGGCGAACGGAAACGGGCTGATATGCAAGCAGCACAACAACAACGGTTCGATACCCAACGGGAAGTTGCATGGTGGGATCGGAGCCGCGGAAAATGGCAAACTGATCGTGCCCGATGAGAGATCGAGCAGCCTTCATACGGAGTTTGATGACGCCGATATTTCCTGCGGATGGGGTCCTTTCAGACCACACTGGCTGCAATACTTCGCTACGAAGCAAACCTTCCTCGTGTTTTTCTGCCTCACCTGGGTCAGTATGTTAAACAACCACTTGATTATTTTGATCATATTGATTATTTCGATCAAATTGATCGTTCTGATTATTTTCATCATTATTATCATTTCATCATTTTGATTATATCAATTACTTTGATCATCTTTATTATTAAATTTCTGTTCATGTTTTTGCCAAATTATTATAAATGCCTCAAAATCCTGATGCATAGATTTAGATTAAACAGATTAAATGAAAAATAAATAAGTAATATCTGTATGTGTGTGTGCATATAAATTTTAAAACATTATATTCTCTAAGAAGTTAATTGTATTTTTTTACAGCAAGAAAACAAATTAATAATATTTGTTAAACTTCTTTGACGTACCTATCTATTTTATTCTCCTTTTTTTTCTATCAATGTGCAGGTGCTTCAAGGCATGTACTACACGTACTTCGTCTCCGTCATCACGACAATAGAAAAGCTCTTCCAGATCCAGTCGAAGACGACAGGCATCATCATGTCGGCCACGGAGATCGGTCAGATCGGATCGTCCCTGTTACTGACGTACTACGGCGGCCAAGGTCACAGGCCCAAGTGGATAGCCTGGGGCATGATCCTCTTCTCCCTGAGCTCGTTCACCTGTTCGATACCTCACTTTATCTTCGGTGAACAGCTGATCCTTCAGAACGAGATGCTGCTGAGCGGCGTCGAGCCCGGCGGTAACGGCCGAGGTCTCAACAATACTGACCCCGTACCGGCAAATCTCTGCAAGTTCCCGGAAAGGAACAGCACACTGGACGGGTGAGTGCTATTATAATTCTTCTTTTCGGGATATAGCTTCTTCTATTCCTAGATTCTTAATGAGCGACCGCACACGCCTCCCGGCTAAATTTGACAAAGACCGGTGATTCATCACAATGAAGAAAGATGTCTTCATTAGCTTTGACCTTTGTGATTAAATAGTAGCTAACTTCACAGTAGTAAATTGTCAAGAAATGGAGAAATCAAACTTTTATTAATCGTAGTTATCTAAAAATTAAATTTTACAGCATTATCAACAATTGTTACATTAATTGCTATTAAAATGACATTTTTAAAAATGATGATAATTTGTTTATCGGTGAGTTTATAAGTTATTTCTAGCCGATTTATTGTTATATATTAATTTGAAGTTGGATAGACCATTTTTTTAAATTTTAAATCATAGAAAATATAAACAAGCGAGTTTTAAGTCATAAATCACTTTAATATATCTATCTGTGAAATGTCTATTCTCTCATTATATAATCCTTATAACTATATTTATATTCTTTGTTTAACAAACCATGAAAGAACTTGTCCATTTATTTATATTCGTTTATTAGTCAATGGAGAAACGTTTATGACACGATTGAAGAAAATTTACGATCGTCATCGATTACAATGTATCCTACGGAAGAATAAGGCGGCGTGTAAACGGTCAGTTGTGTTATCGTCTTAAGTAAAGGTATATGTACGTTTGCTGTAAACACGCGATATAAGGTGGAATACGCCGAAGTAATAGATACGTAGTTTTACCTTAAAATCGTATTGTACAAAAACCGGTTTGTGTTGCATTTCTGCGTGACTGAGATGCGCCGATGGTTTATGACCCGAAGGCAACTAATGAAACGAATCGCACATTTTGCATTACCACGAAGGTATTTTTTAAATGCTGCCGTTGAAAGTGAGATCGAGAACGGAAAATTAGAATATTTATTTATACATATATATAAGAAAAGAGAAAACTAATCTATATCATAACGCGCTACTATAATGGAACAATGTCGATTACGTTTTTTTGATATCAATGCAGCTGCACTTATCGACATACAGAGAAAAATGATCGCGTATCCGCGCAATTTGGGTCGTCTCAGTCGTGGGTGTTAGCTTTCTGATATAATTTCCGGAAATAGTTGATTACATATTTTAATACGAAATAAGATATAGTTATCAGTGGTAGATTTAGGTAATGGTATGGCATATAATATGCGTTATGCATATTAATTTATATATCTATTATAAGATAATACACATATAATATATATACGTGTACATATAAAAAGATTTGCAGACCGAGAGAAGATCGATTTTTTTAAGATCACTAAAAATTCGGATATTTTAAAATTACTACTCTTATATAAATATGATAATTATATAGAATTTGCAAAGACCAGAAATTTCTTTAAAGTGTCAATTTTTCATCTTTTCTTCTTGCTTTCCCTCTTTTAATTCTCTTGTAATTAGTTTTATTTTTTTATACTTCTGACATGCATACATATACGATGTCTACATATCACACACTAATAATACTTAATCAAGAGACACGATAGAAGTGATATCTATATAAAGAAAAAACTAAAAAAAAATATAACGTTTTATCATTGATTTTTATTATATTCTTGTTCGACTTTTTCTTAAAGCTGGAATATCTCGACGCCCCTCTCGCAAACCGATTCGGCGGAATATTGCAAGGGCGATTTTCTCACGGAACAGAGAATACAGGGCAAGATAAACACGGTGGTGCTCGCGATATTTTTCGTGTCATTGCTCGGCGTTGGAATGGGCCAAACGGCGGTGTACACCCTCGGTATACCGTACATCGACGATAACGTGGCTAGCAGAGAGAGCCCTTTGTATTTCGGTAAATACCTCATCAATTTGCAAGAATTATCATTCTTATCCACCTTTTTCTATCTATATTTTTTATTATAATAAATCGTATATACAAACATTAATTTTAATTTTTTAATAAGAATCAAGTTTCTGCTTAAGCTATTTCGAATACTTATTTTATTATTATATTTATTTATATTTATTCATTAAATTTATCTATTAATATTTATTTATTATATTTACATATAAAATATTTTTAATGGAAAAACACTTAGTAAGTTTTCAATATGTAAATTATTATCTATTTTTTTTAAATATGCACGCTATATTAAAATTCATTTATCTTTTGCTCAAATATTGTTTGTGATGTGGATATAGATTTAAAATAAAAAAAAAATAATTTGCTTATGTACAATAGCGATCACAATTGGAGTGCGGATTCTCGGTCCAGCATTAGGCTTTATTCTGGGTTCCTTTTGCACGAGGGTTTACGCGGACTTGTCGAGGACTCCACAAATCACGCCGACTGATCCAAGATGGGTTGGTGCTTGGTGGCTTGGTAAGTTTACGATAAATCGTAATAAGATCGAAAGTGATGAAGTGATTAACTTAAAATTCAAGGAACAATAATGTTTCTTTTTCTAAATTGATTGTATTGAGAGGAAAAATATTGTTTGCAAAAACTTTCATTTTAGCTCATGGAATTGATCTTTAATGATTTTTAATAAAATATTTAACCTTGGATTTCATCAAGTAGAGAGTTTTAAAAAAACTTGAGCTAAAAATCCCTCGGCCTTCGTCGTTTGAATTGCGTAGCTAGACTGCACAACAAATCTATCTGCGTTCAACCATTAGTTGTCTCTCGTCTGCTTGTTGTCATATTAAGAGATGTTCATTGACGTAAAAAAATAGTTTTTGGAATGTGACAACGAACGCGAGCAAGTTAATCTCACAGTCAGAAAATATTTTATTTTTGTCGTCGAATAGAATTATTGTCAAGCACTTTGCATTGAAATGTTTTCATTTATTGCGAGGAAAATCAATTTTATATAGAAATATAACATTTATATAAGCATAAGTCTCTTTATTATTACATTATATATTGATTGGCAAATATTAGGGAACAGAATCGTTCCCTAGCAATTGCCAATCATTATAATTATATATATTTGCTGAGAAAGAGTAGAAACCCAATTTAGCCGAACAACGATTATCCGAATAATAATTACCTATTTATACAATAATAATTAACTACAATTTAAATATTACATAAAATTCTGTTTATAAAATTTTATTTATTATCGGTGTACGTATATTTGTCGATGTTGTTAATAATATTCAATTGCTAGATGTTCTTTTGATAGATTTGGTTAAAGTACGAAAGTATATAAACACGAAAATTTTTCACACAGTATAATATGGATAATAACAAGTCGTTTCAAAGGCAGTATTACAGTAACAAGCGTTATAAGTAAAGATATAACTGTTTAACGATTTTGGAGGATGACGAAAAAGAAGTTATTACGTGACATAATAAATGTAAATTAGTGTACGACATTTTTTGTATTATAAAGAAATCAAGAACGACAATTGGAGATATAATTGACGAATGCAATACGGTGCAAAAAGGAATTGATTCCGCATGCGAAAAATCAACAATAATTATACGTTGTTATATGATCAATTATATATATTTCGAAAAGCGAAGCAAAATAATTATATATTGCAGGATAAGTGCGAATAAAATTGCAGTTCTTAATAAGAAACTTAATATAAGTGGATTTCGAAATTCATACACGCGATACAACGCATACAATATAACAATTCAAAGGTATAAATAACAAAATTATTAAGAATAAAAATAAGAAAAATAAGAAAAATGGACAGACGCCTTTACTCCGAACAAAAACAACGCATTTATGCTTGTTATGAGAAAGATAACTCATTGTACAAAATATCTCACAAATTTGGTATACCAGTATCAAGAATTAGAATTATGATTTATAAATGCGAGAAGCAAAAAGCGTTACGAGAACGTACTAAAGTATCTAGACCCTCACTCAACGAGAATGAGATAAGAACAATTATTCAAGAAGCGATACAGAAAAATTTGGAGAAGATATCCATACTCTTAGATGTAGAGATCGAAAAATATGAACGAGACATTCGTACATTACAAGATGGCATATCATTTTTATATAATGCAATATTGAACACAGTCGAGTCATTTTAAATGATCTTTAATGTAAGTTATACATATATGTATGTTAAAACAGATTTCAAATAGATTATTATACGAATACTTATTTATCTCATTTTATGCATAAAAATCTGTAATATTTCCTTTCTTTTAATATTTCATATTAAATATTAAAATCTACAGAGAACGTATGCCAATTTCTTATCTAAGGACGTCTAAGATATATATATATATATATATATATATATATATATATTGCATATATGTATATTATTTAAATTATAATAAATTATGATTATTATGATAAGTAAGATTATATAGTATTTTTTTCAAATTGAGTCAGTCTAATCGTACGAATACTTTTATCTTGTTTTATCTCTTAAAGTTAATATTTGTTTCTCAAAAATACTTTTTGCAAATAATTTTATAAGGGGGTGCATTACTGTCGTTTAATTTATCCGGATAATCGGTGTTTCGCTATAATCCGCAATTACATCGTGAGACGATGTTATTTTACTTTTTGAAAGAATGATTGAGAACACTGTTTTTTTTAAACTTACGTGTTTCAGGTTTGGTCATAATTTCCGCGATGTTGGCGGTAGTAAGCATCGCAATGTTCGCGTTCCCGACACGTTTGCCAAAGAGCAGGACTCCGTCTCGACGAGCGGATTCTAAAAAGCCAAGTCTCCGAGGTAAGTCCTGATATATCTTTCTTAAAGGTTCGCGATCGCTCTCTCGTCCGACTAGTCGTTTCGACCGTGTGGCATTAGCTTAATCTGTTTTTATGACTCGCCGTAAGCTGTTTTGTGACAAGTTTCGTCTCTCTTTCTCCATTTCTCTCTATCGTTCGCGCGATTTCCTGCGCGAAAAACGTCTAAAAGTCCTCGAGAAAATGGATAACGGGTCGCAGTTCGGCTACGATATCGGATTTATTCTCGTTGCTCCAGTAAATATATGGCCCATATACGTCATTGCTTTTTGATCTTTTTGCGATTGCAACTCGTGATTCACGATTCGATTGCGATATCTTGATATTTGATGGTAATTTATACTCGCGCCAATATTTATGATGTATCACTCGTGATAATATTGCATCATCGCGAAAAATCGCATAAATTGTATGGAATTAGAAGATTTCTGAATAAGAAGAATATTAACAAATTAGAGAATTTTATGAATGAAGCTTGAAAAAATACGCAAGTACTTAGAGAACGAAAAATTGTATTCTTTTTCTAATTATTGTATTTATAATAATCTTTAATGTTTAATTATTAAGACATATAATTACGTTGTCGAAGAAGCTCAAAATTTTTTAAATAATGGCTTGATCCAAGACACTTATATATAAAAGATATTGAAATAATTACTTTAAAAGTGCATAAGTACTTTGAGAACGAAAAATTCAATTTTTTTCTAATTTTATATAAATATAATTTTTTAAACGCTTAATTATTAAGACATATAATTATGGTGTCAAGTAAGTCCAAAATCTTTTTGACGCGTTGATAGAAATCCGAGACACTCTGTATATTTTTATAGAGGGAAATGATTATGCGTTTTAAATTATATATAAGGATATTGAGAAATAATTACGTTGGAGAAAACAGGCGCGGAGCACATTATTGCCGTTAACAGCAAGTATTTTTGCTGAAAGGTTTGCATGGAAAGGTGAAATTTTGCACACTTGCTACTTGCCATAGTGTTGCAGATCGAAGGTTAACGAGAATGCAAATAAAAGCCGGAGACAATGTGCTCTTCGTAAGTTAATCGGGAATTCACGACGAGCGATTTTGCTTGCACATTTTTCTATTGTGCACTAAAACAATGATATATATATAACGTTCTTTTTTATACGTCCGTTGACTCATTAAATTCATTAGTGCTTAATTACGTCAATTTAATAATTTTTTAATTTGATTTAATTTTATTCAATTCAATTTTATTTAATTAAATTTTATTTGTCAATTTTATTTGAAACTAAATTTCTTCAATAAGCAAATATCCTTCATTTTTATCATTATAAGTTTATTTATAATATCACTTTTTTAATTTTAATCATGTGAGATATCTCTATAGCGCACTGTTTGCGGACAGAAAATTGTACCCATAAAATCATCGCGAGAAATCTTCGTTATTAGAGAATTAGAACACACATATGTTCGATCTGCGATAACAAATCGCTTTGTTTGTTAATTCGCGCAACAAGATGAATCATTATGCCACATTTGCAGCTGCAGCGATATCTCTGTCACATAATGCGATTCGGTCGGCTTTATCGCATACGTGCGCATAAAAGGAGGAATAAACCCGAACGGAGATGATCTCTCAAGCGTGAGTCCCCGACTCGGTCCAAGGTTAATAGCGAATTTAGGTGCGAGCGGAGGATGCCTCGATGTCGCTCCTTTGCCTATCCATATAATATAATACTCGCCATTCACAACCGGGAAAATACAGCCGAGCGATTTACAGCTTTCGGCACACCTGTAAAAAGGAAAAAAAGTTAGACACGCGCGATTAGCCTCTCTACGGATGGAGAATCGTCTCCACCTCGAGCAAATCTCTTGCAGAATTCGGCGACCGTGAATAATCGACCTCGTCCCCGATTAGATTTTTACGCGTGCTTGACGTTTTTCTTTTTTTTTTTTTTTTTTTATTTCGCTGCGCAGTTTTCAGCGCTGCTAAATTTCCGCGGTCAGAAATGGCTTTTTGAAGACGGTTCTTCATGCCTCGTTTGTGATCCAATCACCTTGACCTGTTTACCCTCTGATTTCTCCTAAACTGCTCAAGGTGAGTTAACGGGAGTCAAAAAACGCGCGTTTATATTAAAGTGCTGTATTGATTTAGAAATATTACCAATTAATCCTGAAACACTATATCCTGAAAGGAAAAACATATATGATTTTTTTATTAATGTGTCGACTTAATTTTTTTATTCCTTGAAAGGTAATTTAAAGCTATTTATCTTGAACGTAATTCAAATTTAATATATATAATTTAAAGAATATAATATTCAAAGACTGAATAAAATCTCTCAAAGGTATTTTTTAAAGACACTTTTTGTGATAATGTTACTTTGATATTAAAATACAAAATTTTTCGCGAATAAAAATATACATACACGTGTACGCACAGCCGCAGTAATTTTCCTAACTCTATATTTACACATTTTTTACAAAATTGATCAAATATTTTAAAATTCCATACGATATTTTATAATAAAAGGCAGAGAGAAAAAAAAATAGAAGCGCAGGCATATATGACAATTTTGACTACTTTATTATTAATAAAGAAACAAAAGGGTGATTTATATTTTTCTATATAAAAATAACTCTCTCCTCTTTCGCGAAATTTGTGAAATTCCTCATCAGTCGCAGAAATCAGCGTGCAACTCGCAACAACTTGCCGGCTCGTTCCGAAAGCCTCTGAAATCATCGGATGTTCCTTTAAACGGACCCTCTGCGCACAGAAGAATTTGTTTACATATTTTTTATCTGTACAAAATTGATCAAAAATATTTCAAAATTCCATACGATATTTTAATATAAAAGGCAGAGAGAGAAAAAAAAGATAGAAGCGCAGGCATATATGACAATTTTGACTACTTTATTATTAATAAAGAAACAAAAGGATGATTTATATTTTTCTATATAAAAATAACTCTCTTCTCTTTCGCGAAATTTGTGAAATTCCTCATCAGTCGCAGAAATCAGCGTGCAACTCGCAACAACTTGCCGGCTCGTTCCGAAAGCCTCTGAAATCATCGGATGCTCCTTTAAACGGACCCTTCGCTCACGGGAGGGATGGCGCGTTCACCCGTGTGCGTTGCACGCGCGTGTGCATCGCGTGCGTGTGTACGCGCGTGAGCGCGCACGCCGCCGCTCTCTCGCGTGTGTGCGTTAATAATAATGACTGACCGACTCGTGCACCAAGGTGGGGCAAGTTCACGGTCACGCGTCGTGCATAGAGGCGGTGGTGGACACGCACGCGCGTAAGTTTTGCGCGTGTACACGGACTAACGTGCGTGTCTCTCATTCTGCTCCTTTTTTTCAGTTTTTTCAGTTCCGTCGACCCCTTCTCTCTTTTCTTTCTCTATTTATTTCCTTTCTCTCTTTTTGTCTCTATGTATCTTATATACATATATATATGCGTTTGCTACGAGCCGTATTATTTACATACTGTCGCGCTTAATTTGGCGAATCGCCTACGCAAAAGCCTTTTTTAACCCGCATCTAGTCCCTCTTTTATTTATTATCGGACATATTATTATATCTTGTTTCAAGCGAGGTTTTTCATTTGCATATTTATGACGAATATTTGAATGTCGCGTTTTAAAAGGACAGCGGCGTATTTTCGCGAATCCGAATATTTCGCACATAGGCATAGTTTTCAAATAAATCACACAGTGCTAAATTATAATTATCGCGTTCATCCCTATAATATAGAAATTTATCGCTAGTAACGCCAATTTATCACTTATTTCGAGTACTTAAATTGTGTATCAGTATATTAAGTACTCGAAATAAGTGATTAATTGGTTTCTAGGGATGTCTGATAAACAAAAAAAAATATATCTCGAATTTATACAACGGCCAAAGTTTAAAAGATATCATCTTGTACATTTTAATACATGATATATAACACATAATATAAATATAAATATTAAACATAACATGTAATATTATTGTAATATATAATACGTATGTATATATAATAATATATTTACTGATTGAGTCTATATGATCGTAGACAGATTTAATGCTGCGCGACAGTATTATACAATTATGAAATTTGATGAACGCAATTAATAATATGTGTGTACAACGTGTATGTACATTCCAATACGTAAACATACATGTACTTGCATATTGAGTGTGCCAATTTATGCATATATATCTTTCATATTAATTAATTATGAAGTTTGCGAGACAAATTGCAAAATCGATAGGCCGAAACACATCTGTCTGAAATAAACGATGTATGCCACATGTGATCGGCACAACATACGCGTTCGGACCTTTAAAGGGCATTCTATACGATAATACTCGAAGCGCAATGTTAGTCACGTTTGTCTACTCATGGTCTGTGGGACGTCCCTATATGCGGGGTTGCCACAGCTTCTAGCTGGGCTTGAATGCCTAGAAGAAGACTTCTAGGCAGTCCTAGGCATGTAGCTTCGTTTGCACGCACAAGGTTACGCATATACTGTACACTCGCTATAGTATCATGCGAAAAAGGTGCTCGACTGGTCCGCGAGTAGATAAATTAACATAGCGTTCAACAGAAAGAGAAATCGAAAATTCATTTATTTAGCTCCTTTTTGGCCGAATCAATTATTAAGTATATTTATTTTTTTATTTGAACTTGTTTTTCTTTCAATTTTATTTCGAAGCGCAATACATTTTTCAAGATTTTAGATTAATTATTAAAAAGACGATCGAATCACCTGAACGGTTAACTGATAGATTAAAATAATCTTCAACAAAGGAATGGTGAGAATATTGCTTCAGCTTTTCTTTTAAATGAGTAAATTGTAAAAATGAATAAATGAATTTGGAGTAGATAAACTTTCTTCAATTACATCAATAAATCCGATTCGGCGGAATAAAAATGCATGATATATGAAAATTTTAATAATCTGAATTTTTTATTCGAAGTCTTTTTCAAATTAGAATTAAATCAATCTCGAGTTAATTTCAAAGCGCTATTTCTATCAATACATTTGCATTCTATCAGATATTTAAATGGACCCGAGTTTCTTATCTGAATAACCTTTACTATTTATCCAGCTCATCGAAAGTGAATGAAAGAAAGAGAGACAGTCGTGAATGCTCTCTCGTTTAGTTGGACCGTAAATTGCTATAAGATGGCAAATGTTTAGCGCGAGTCTCTTGATAATAATTTCGAATGTTTCTTTAATCGTCGAACCTGGACTGTTGGCGGACTATAAACAGACGGGGGTCTCTCGATGCCAGGTCTACATATAGTTTCAATGGGTCAATACTACGGTCAGCTTTCCAGAGGTATACCTTCGTCTGGCAGGGGCTCCTATAAAAGTCTATGCGAATCGATTTCCAGCGATACGTCAGGCAAAACTGCCTGTAAATGTCCTGTACCGTCATTGCAATCGTTTAGAAAATCGTTCGTGTCAACCGAATGATTTGAGCAAAAGGCACTCTAGAACAGAATTGCACACGAGTTTTTTTCTTTTTTTCCTTTTGCGACTCTTTTCTCCTCTTCAGCCTCGCTGTTGAAGGATCCTCTCGCATGTTTGAAGAAGGATAATGCGAGAAGAGAGAGAAAAGATTGCCGAAGCTAATTAGCTCGTTCCTCGTAATCGAGCTCGTAAATATATAGAGAATTGCGGTAGACTCTGTCAGAGATTCGTAGGGAATAAGTATATGCAAGGCTCGAGTAGAGACAGAGAGATCAGGCAAGACCGAGACTAATAAGAGATAACCGTGATGCTGAGTCTGGATTAGAGTATCGCTAAGTAATCTTTGCCTATGAAACATGTAATATCTTGAGTCGATGACTCGTATATTTGTTGCACATATAATACGAGACTCATTTATTTAAATAAGATGATTACAATTAAAGAGGCATATATGGTTACATCAAGATACTTGACGTCAAAATTTCAAAGGAAGGATGTGGCGAAAATTACAGGGTGGAAGAAACATATTCACCAAACGCATCTATTATCGATCATTCTATATAACAATATCGAATAATTTATATATAAAGTATAATAGTACATAATAATTTATATAATGATCAAATTTTTTTGTTTATTCATTTTTTTGTTTAATGATAATTGTCACTTGACATTTCTCGCTATTTTTTTTATTCTTTATCTATATAAAATTAATAATGGCAAATGTATTGAATACACGAGAAATTATATGGATTGACGTGATAATTATATTAATGTGCACGTTTACACGCGTGTTTGATGCTGTAACACTTCGGTCGTTGTTACAGATTTTCCGGCTGCAGTGAAACGCCTTCTGAAGAATGACATCCTGATGTTCAGGACAGCAAGTAGCGTGCTGCACATCTTGCCGATCGCCGGTCTTTACACCTTTTTGCCGAAGTACCTCGAGAGCCAATTTCGTCTGCCGGCTCATGATGCAAACTTGATCTCAGGTAATTATCGCGAATGAACATGCAAGCGGGGGCCCGCTTGGATCTCGAACGTATACTCTATTACACAGTTTCAGCAAGGAATTCAAGAAAAAAAGAATTATTCCTTTACAGTTTTTTATACGATTTTCGTCTTAGAAATGCTTTATTTGAAAAATAAATTAAATTTATTGATAAATTAAATTTTCAAATTTGAATAGTGTGTCGAAAAATATTCATGTGATTTCCAATAACTTGATTTAAAAATTTGCAATATTTATTAATTGTAATATTTGTAACATATTTCATTTGAGAATTGAAAATTTTAACAATGCACTTGATTTTGAATGAATAAAGTTTTATCAATATGCCACATACCATAGCTGTAGTATAATAAAAAAGTAACGTTAAAATAATCTCTCTTTCAAATCATCTCTCTTTTGTCACAATTTTAAAATCAAATTTCTCAAAATATGAACATTTTAAAAGTTAAAATTGTATTTGGTATTAAATAATTTTTGTTTGAGTTTAGGAAAAGTTCTTTTTTTATTAAATTGTGTTGTTACTAATGATATATATGTACCGGGCAACGTCGCAAGATTTTGCCGCCGGATTTCCGTCGCGATTACGATGTAAAGTGGATAATTTGACGTAAATGACAGAATGGGTGTGTTATTCCATTCTCCGAAAAGAATTGTTCTCTCACTTTGTTTTTTGTATGCAGAAAATTGCGACGCTAAATTTACTGAATTGCCTCTACCTTACTTTTACTAACTTAATTACTATTAACATTTCGTTTCAACAACCCGAGATTATTTTATATATTATAATAATTTCCGTAAACATTTCACACATATATATTCCTAGTTTTCTTTTTTCTTTCATATATTTAACAACGTCACTTATTTATAATTAATAAGTAATTTAAAACGCATGCAAGTTAATGTATTTAATTCGATATAATCCGATAGAAGGAATTCGCGTGTGTAGCTCGGTATTAATTGTGCCTTATTCCACGTGCGTGTGTACGCGCGCACGCGCTAATTTATAATGATTGTTCGTCGAGAATTGGCGCCGGTCGTAGAACAAGGCTGCGCCTTGCTTCTCTATTCTATACTCCTCGTCATTCTGCACCCGAATATTAATCTATAGCCGTATTATTCAACGAATAATTTGGTGGAAGTACGCAGCTGTACGCCGTATTGTTATGCAATGTCGTATTGATTTTGAATTATTTCATAGTTGATCGAGTTACGCAAAGCTATAATGAAAGTATAAGCAAAATCAATGATCGCTCGAAACCATTTTACGTGATGAGCTTATAGTATATATATATATATATATATATATATATTACATCCAATTTGATGTTTGTGTACTTCATAATTTATATTAAATATTAAAGATAAATATTTTGTTATTGTGCGTTTAAGATAGAACGAACAAAATTAAATAAAATGGAATTATTATTACGTAAAATATCTTCCTTTATTTTTATATAAATATCTGTACGTAAAAGCATATTTCTTGAATTATACCTAATTAGAGAACAATATTTTTATCTAACAAGTATTTTTAATTAATGAAATCTGCTCGAATAAAGTGATAGTGATCTCATCCTTGGATTCTCACGGCTAGATTATGACGCATATCATGAATTACCAGGTGAATGGCTTTGAACGATCGTATAATGAGCGTGACTTTTTTTGCGCAGGTGTTGGCGGCATCCTAGTTATGGGATTGGGTATAATAATTAGTGGAGTATTTATCTTGAGAGCGAAGCCTAACGCGAGGTTCGTCGCGGCTTGGATCGCCTTCACCGCGATCGTTTACGCGATCGGCATGGGTGTATTGATGTTTATTGGTTGTCCGATGGATGATTTCGCAGGACTCGTGTCACATCCGGACGGGTAAGCAAAATTTTATCATATCTAATAAAACTTTTAAAATGTCGATAAATATTAAACTTGATGTGAAATCTCTTAAAGAAGAAAATATTCAAGCGCTTTAAATTATAAATTAGTTGAAAGAAGTGTCATCAGTCACAAATAGCAAATATTAAAGCAATTATAAATATTATAATGTAAAAGTAAAGATATATATATATATATATATATATATATATATATATCACATTAATTATAAAATTTGTAATAGCAAAAATTAAAGCAATCATTAAATATTATAGCAAATATTAATAAAGCGAAAACTATTCGAGTATATCGCATAAATTATAAAAATTATAATCTAGTATTTTATTAAGATAATTAATTATCAATAAAACTCAACGGAAGACATTTTATTAATATTATATTAAGTTATCTTAATATAAATTGTAATGTTAATTCGTATTATTAGATGAAATAATATTAAAGTTCGCTAAGTCTTTCGCGTTAAATGACACAAATCTATATTGCATTTTCATGCAGTATCGTTAACGATATTTTCGAAAACATTCGGCTCAGGTTGTTTGCAATATTGTTACAAAACTCTCGCTTCATGTATGTAAACGGCGAGACTGATGATTGGTGTTTAACATAAAATAATGTGTGCGAATGCGTGTTCCATTAAAATGCGCATCGTAAATATATGTATTGGAAACGCGTGGAAATTTTCTATTTTTCTCTCTCTTCGTTTCCTGTCTTATTTACAAGTCAACGATATCTTCTGGTTCCTCCAGATACATATATATTTTGTACTCTCCCGATTTGGCGCCTTATTTATTCGCTTTCTGAAGAAATTTTGCCTGTTGTATTCAATTTAAAAAGCGAAATCGACGTTTCCGCAGACTTTCCAGCTTCGAGCCGACCTGCGAGGTTGCCTGCGACTGCGACCGAAATAAATTCAGTCCAATCTGCGGTGTGGACGGTAGAACCTATTTCTCCGCGTGTCATGCAGGCTGCCCGAATTATACGGTTGTCGACGGGAAAGTGGCATCGGTAAGTGTTAAGCTCGTGTAAAACCAACACTCGACAGGACATGCTCTGCGATGACACGTCCATTCGAGCGGAAATTATGCGGGCTACGCGAATATGGGTAATTGAAACGGTCATCAGCTGTTGCCGAGTCATTTCGGAGAACAATACAGAATTTAGTCTCTTGCTCTCGAATAAAATAAAATATTTTTGTCATTCATATTTATATTAGATATTATTATCAAGATTAATTTTTTTCATTTTTAATTAAGTAGTAATTTTGAAACGCTCAGCTGTTACCGAATTATTTCGGAAAATAATGCAAAATGTAGGAGTTCTTTTTGCTCTCGAATAAAATAAAATAAAATGTAGCAACATATTGTACTTTTGTTTATTATCTATTTATATTATTATCAGGTATTATTGTTGAGATTAATTTTTTCAATATCGAATGAATTTCTGAATATCGAATATTCTGAGTATCGTATATTAATTTTTCTAAAACGTCACTACGGGCAATTTTTATTCGAGGCAGAACAATATTTAGCAATTATGTTTTTGATGCGAATAATTGCAAAATTATTTATATTATATATAAAATACATATATATTTTTCTTTCCTCCTCTGATGATATTGCATTTGGTCTTTCGCAGTACCATAACTGTCAATGCGTCGAACAAAACGTCACGATACCGGAAGCAATGAGCACGGCGACGATCGGTTACTGCAAGTTGGAGTGCAGCAACTTTTGGGTTTATATGATCCTGTTCTCGGTCTTCGTTTTTATTCACTCGACTAGCGAGGTAGGGTCCATGTTGCTCATTCTGCGATGCGTGGATCCCAGGGACAAGGCCATGGCGCTCGGCCTGATACAGTTCGCCATCGGTTTGTTCGGTAATTACTTGAGACATATCTTTTCAACGAGGTAGACATCGCGGCGTGTCTTTACACAAGAACTTTTTCGGTCCGAATAAAACGAGAAAGTGAACGGGCAAAGCCCGGTTGATGAAATCTCATTTTCAAAGAGAGTTTCACAAGTTTGTAATAATGTTTCTATAGATGTATCCTTTTTGATATAAAATACAGTGAATCACAAATTGATTTTTAGGTCAGTGAAATGATGAAATCTCGTTTTCCAAGAGAGTTTCAAAAGTTTATAATGTTTGTAACAGATGGATCTATTTTGACGTACAATGTAGTGAATCACAAATTGATTTTGGGTCAGTGAAATGATAAAATCTAGTTTTTGAAGAGAGTTTCAGAAGTTTATAATATTGTTTGTATAGATGGATTTTTTTTGACGTAAACTACAATGAATTGATTTTGGATCAGTGATCTAATTTCTGAAGAGAGTTTCAGAAGTTTATTATGTTTATATAGATAGATCTTTTTGAGGTAGAATAAAATAAATCATAAATTGATTCTGGATATCAGTAAAATTAAAAAATAATAAATTTGAAAAATCTAGAGTTTTCAAATGTTAAAAAAATATTCTAAAATTGTCTTTTTAACACAATATGGTAAGCTTAATATATTCATTTCTTATCTTCAGGTAATGTCCCGTGTCCTATCGTTTATGGTGCTGTGGTGGATTCCGCTTGTCTTGTATGGGAATACTCTTGCGGTGAGCGAGGCGCCTGCTGGCTTTACGATTCGAATGTATTTAGAATGTTCTATCATGGTAAGTGCATGTATAAAAGAATTCTCTATTTACTGAAAAAAATATAGACCAAAAAAGAAATTCCAATAGTTGCATTAGTTCATTGAAACGCAATTCTTGAGTCAAACTTTAATTAATACACGCAATGATACATTTTCGATCTATTTTATTTATGACCTGAAAAATTAATAAGAAATAAATTCAATAGAGATTAGGGAACGAAGAGTGTATACTTGTAATACCCCAGGTAGCAAGCCGACGTCATTAAACGTCAAAATGACGTCATTCGACGTCAAAGTGGCACTTTGACGTTTAATGACGTTTAATAAAAGTGGCATTATTTTGACGTCGAATGACGTCATTTTGACGTTTAATGACGTCAGCTTGCTACCTGGGACGTGAAGCACTCAAAACGCAAAAAATAGTGTCACACATATCAGATTGCGTACGAAAGCACAAAGTTTTGCATGATAATGACTCCACGAAATATTCTCAGGTACAACTGGCGGTATCCTCGTGTTGGCCTTCATGATGGATATAGTCGTCTGGTACAAGGCCGGGAGCATAAGCTTCGTGGAGGAGCAAGAGGGCGAGGAAGGTACCGCAGAGGAAATGGCGACGTTACAGTCGCAGGACGCTCAGACAGTTGAGAATGACTATTTGTGAAGGTTTCGTATTACTCTTTGCGGTGAACGGGTCGCGGCCGATGTGTCGTCGTCATCATCGTCTAAGGACGCAAGTGCAGTGTCGTAGGATACTCGGGAACGGTGTCGTTCTTCTTCGCGAAAGGTACATCGGCATAGACCGCTCTGTCTTCCCGAAAACGACCTGACGGTCGCGAGAGGGATCCTCTCTCGAATGAGCTCGTGTCGACTCGGAAAGTCTAGTCTCTTTCTCTTTTCTCTCCTCCGGTAGGAGACGCCTCTCAGAACAATCAACGTTGGTCGTGTGATGCGAATTATCTTCAATGTTTCGCGCGCGGACGCGAAGATCATAAGAAGACTGGCTGAAGATCATAAGAAGACTGGCTCTCTTTCTCGAGTTACGAGAGAATCGCGATCGTTGAACAAGGAAGAAGCAGATACGATTGTTAAGTCAGAAGAGTTAGGCTCTCGGAAGATCATTACGACTCAATTACGACGTGCAGGAAGAAGGATGACTTTCGCGGAGCGAGCGCATTACATGAAGACGATGAGATGCTGACTATTGCGTCGCGAGGATATTCTTATTAAGAACGCAGGAGAACCGTACGGAGAAGAGAGGAATCTCTCTCTGTCTATGATAAGTCTCTCCCGAGAGCACCTCGGAGAAAAAGAAGTTATAGTAAGGTTTCTCTCTCAGGGAGGCTGTTAGTAAGTACACGCAATATAAAAAAAAGTAATACTTCCGTGCCTACGAAATGAAACGGTGCTTGCGGCGAGTACGTGGGGAATCCGCTTCGACGGAATCCAGAGAATCGAATCGAATCAAACCACACGGGCGGCCTCGCGGACGAACACGATTCGCGACAGTGAGGGATTGCATCGTGAGTTTGCGCACCGGTGTTGATTAGTTGATTATATATACGACGGCGTTCTCGTCGCTTCTCACGTTATCTAACGGTAACGTTTACTATGAAAGGAAACGCGAAAGGAAACGCGGGACACTTGCCTTAATACAGGACTGATTCTGACAAACGGGATAGTGTTGGGTTTTGTAAATGAAGATAAAAAAAATTGTGAAATATTTTTTGCATGAATTTTTTTTTATTATTCTGCGGATAAAGGTATTAAGTAAAGTCAATTTTTTTTTTTCCGAGATATTCGACATTTTATTTCAGCATTTCTCAATATTTGTTTTAATGTTATTCTTACATCATGTTCTAATGTTTTACCATTACACTTTATACATTTTCATTTTTCATAATATTTTGAAGCTGATTGCAATTTATTTTTGAACGATGCATATGGATTCGCTCTTTCGAATCATTCAAACTCTTTCAAGTAATTACGAAAAGACGTCGAATATCTTGAAAAAAATTGACTTTTCAAATACTTTTATATTTACATAATAATGAAAAAAAATTAATTTAAGCAACAAAGTATATTGCTGCATTAAATAAGTGCAGGGGCATTAGTGCATCTGCAGCAAAAGTGATGTTATAGGAAGTTAGTAATGCAATATCGTTTTTACCATTTTTTTTTAGTTTTATTTACAAAATAACAGTTTCTCGTCCCAGTTGTTAAAATCTGACAGTTCTGTATAAATGCAAGATTTTTTAATTTCATATAGATGTTGTTACAAAGGAATCGAATGAAACGACAGCTCAAAATTTTTTAATATTTCGAAACTGCAACGGCAATAATAAAACATTTATTGATTGTGCAAAGCAACTATACAATTTTTCAATAAATTTTGATTATTATAAAATTTCAATTAAAAATTTTTGATAATAAAATATAAAATTTTGAATATATTGGGATATATTCAAATTCTTAAATATTAACGTATAATGTGTATGTATATATGTCGTAGGCAAATGGTTACTTGTGTGCCCTTTCGTAGTCACCCTTGATAGACGGGATGGTTGCGGCAAGTCAGACGGCATTTGACTAGTCAAAAGCTATTTGCTTAAAGTGATCATTTGCCTGCGACACACACATATATATATATATATATATATATATATATATATATATATAAATTATAAATATAAAAAAAATTGCTAGTGAGAATCCAATTGTTGGATTTCACTACTCTGAAATTCAATAGATATAGTGTTAATTAAGACTCCTAATCACTTGTTGCAGCTATATTTAATTATGATGTCTGTAGCAACACTTTTTGGTTTATATATTAATCTCGATTAACTATATTTATTACATAGAATATTGATATATAAAATATGAAATATAGAGTTTAATTATTATTAAATATATACAGATTAAGTTAATGCAGGATAATAGGAGAAAAATTTGTTATGTGTTTTATTAATCTCTATTATCGAATACGAATAATATAAGAAAAATTTAATTTATTTTGACATATAGTATGAGAAAACAAACTTATATAATTTTTTAATTCTGACATCATAATTCAATGTTGCAATAAAGAGTTAGAAGGTTTAATAATTCATTTTTAAAAATAGAATTGGCATTGAACAATGGACGTGAAAAAAATAGTTTTTGTTGATACAGTATAACGTAGATTATTTTATTAATTATTTTATAAACAAATTTGAGGACGCACTTTTATTTATTGAATATAATTTTTGTACAAATGATTTTACTGTAAAATAACATATTGATTCATACTTTGATATCAAATATATTTTTATCTAAAAATACATTTTAACTATAGACACATAATGATTTAAATTTGATGTATATTGAGAATCTTAGGATTAATTTATTATTTTTAAATAGATAAAAAACTTCCAAATAGATAATTTTTGTTTATTAAGAATGTATTAGATGTAATATGTAAAATATAGCTTTAAAAAATTTTTTCAAAATTATTTTCTAATAAGAACGCAAATATAAATTTTCGAAAAATTTATAACATCTATATAAAATTTAAATAGGTAAAATTTAAATAATAAATAATTAAAAAACTAAAGGACTATATGAGATGTATGGAAACGTGATCAAAATAAACAAAATTGCAAAGATCGGAGATTTGCAAAAATATATATCGACCGTGATGCGGTTATATATGAATAAAATTATAAAATATTTAGAGAGAAAGATAATAAATATCTTAAATATAAGAAAGATAATAAATATCTGAAATAATTTCTTAAATATAATAAATTGGGAGGACTCTCTCTTAAAATCTTTTTATATATAACTAAATGTAAAATATTAGGATTAATAAGAATCTATATGTGTGTGTAAGACGCAAGCTACAGAATGAGTATTAATTATTCATACAAAGCCATAGAAAAAGAAACAGATTGCACGTTTCTGCAATAAACATATTATTTTTTTTTTTTAACAAAGAATTGTTTAATTGTCAGAAAACTTGTCATTTCAAGTGAAACAGATAAGTACGCTGGTCTGTTTCGTGTTTCCTTTTCGGATGTAATATATTGCTCGATAATTTGTATTACATTGGTGCGCATTACATTAGTTGCGATCTCTATAAGAACGTATGAAAAGAAAGAAAAGACGAAGAGAAAATATTGATCATTCTACTTAATCAATCGATAGGGAATATACTTTGTTTCTCGCAACCAATGAAGCAGGCAAAGTATGTAAATTATATATATATATATATATATATATATATATATGTGTGTGTGAAAAAAAGGTGAAATGCACAGGTATAAAAAATCGTCGATTCTGATCAATCGGTCCTCGACCGTTCACGAACGAACATCTGCGCTTCGGCTGCATGCCCGTGTGCATTTCTGCATTTAATCCTTGCGTGTTTTTCCCTGTCGATGTTCGGGAAAGATTGAGAGATGAAAATTATTCGCCGGAAATTATAAGAGCATTACACAAACGAAGCGCCGCGAACGATATAGATCTAAACTGTAATGAGAGAAAATCCTAAAAGCAGAAGGAGAGAGAAAGAGTCTAAAGTATAGAAAATTTGTATAATTGTACATTATAAATTTGTTCTTAATTCGAAAAAACCAGAGCCGAAGAAAATATAGTTTATATCATCACTTTACTCTGCGATACTACAATCGTGATAGTAATTGATAACTATTGGATAAATGTATCGTTGTATTTATAAATTTGCCTCTTTTATGTGAGGGCAAAATATGTCTTACTTAGATCTATATTACTAGCTGCGCTTTGAATACAAACGTTGTGCTTACCTAAGAAATGATGATCAATGGAGTAACAGCTAAATAAATGAAAGAGCGTGTTGCATAAGTGTATGCATCATTATTATTGAAAAATCAGAAATGTAAAAATAGTAAAGTAATATGCGTTAATATGTCAAGGATTAATGCAGCAGCGACTACCTCCCGACATACATCTCGTTATTGTTAAAACAAGTTCATTATCGATATATTTTGATTTGACATTTTTGCAAGATAATGAAAGAGTTGATTGTTAAATTGGATGCCGACGATTGTTTTAACAATGATGACGCGACGTACGAACGAGATTATATCCTCTATATGAAAAAATTAGCGATGTATTTTTATGTACGAAACTTACTCGTATACTTAACACGAGATTTACGCGTAGACGTTCGTGTTGAGCGGCTCGAGATATTTTCTTGTATATGGTTGGTTCTCGATTTATATCATAAGCGTGTTTATATCAATGACATTTTATGATTTATATCAATGACAGTTTTATGAATTAAAAACAATTTTATATTTTTCCAAATTTTGTACAGGATTTATACAGGATTAAACTTACTTTATGTTTATCTTTATACATTATTAATTAAGATAGATATAAAAATATATAAAAATTATGATTTAAATCTCAATAAATTCTATTAATTCTCAATTTTTTTATATATTTTATAAATTGTCATATTACGTAAAAATATATAAATTTAATTAGAATATAATCACAAAAATTTTATAGACTTTAATTATATATCTAATGAATTATACTTTTAATTATGCTATTAATTAGGAATTTGAATTATGCGATTTGAAATTCGTCGAATTATTCTTAAAAATGGATTTAATAACGCAAATCGAGATGTATACATATGTATAAAAATAATGTTTATTTCGCTCTGCTTCTAAGTGTCCGATACTCAAATACACACACACACACACACACACATTGTTGTCATTCGGAACTCTTCTCGGATCTCGAGTGACCTCTTACATAGGTCACTACCCCGTCCGTGTGTTTTACTCTTACATAGAGTATACTACAATCGTAAACAATACATAAATATCTATAATAATTATTTGTAATCTGGAAAATGATGACTATGGCGAAAGTGACGTGGAACGAAAGAAAACAAGAAAAAAAGGAGAATAAAAAGAGATTGAGGGAACGAAAGCGATTATACAATATTTGTTGTATGCATTTATCCGCTTTCGATCTCGTCTAAATCATTGAAATCAACTAAATGATTTGAAAAGAGTAAACAGAAAAGAAAGATAAAACAAAAAGTAATACTAATTATTATTACTTTCATTATTGCGCTGATAGTTGAAACAGCTGGAGGATGCGATTACATACATACACATTGCACACATACAAAGAAGCGAATGAAGAGTTATTAAACAAAAAAAAAAACTGTATTTTAATATGATACACTTTACACATCGTTATGGAACACGCTCGTAGATGTCTGATCGTTTGTCCGAGTGTTATTTTAGTGTTTGGCGCGTTTTCTGCAGCAAACGGAAGTGGACGTTTCATATTAATGTAATAAGATATGTACGTCCGTTTTCCGTGTCCATGTAGAGGATTGACTGTAGTCAGCGTATATAAAAAAGAGAGCGACAAAAGAAAACAGATATGAACGCGCATCAAGTGAGAAAAATATTTGTGTGCAATGACTTTTATTTATAATTCAGAAAATATTCTTTGCATGAAAAAGAGAGAACGTATTTGAACATATTGATAATCGAAACTAAATAATCGATAAAAATTGCTTGCACAATATCCAAAAATAAAGAGAATTATTTAAATGTTGGATTTCCTTTAAATTATCGAAAATTAAATAATTTTTTAATATCTGAGAGAAAAAATATATATAATTATAATTTGTTTTAATATATTATATATATATATATATATATATATATATATATACACGCATAATTTAAATTTTGAACGATTATTTATTTGCGCTATACAATTGTTAATTTAAATATATTCTCTCTTTTTTACATACGGTCGACTTTCCGGTTTGATCGATCTTGTCGATGGTTATTAACCCTTAAACACAGACGTGATTAAAAGTTGCACCATTGTTTATTTTACAGATTACTTGACTTTTGAAATTTATTACTCTTCCACATGTGTGTACGTGTATGTAAACTTTATATTAATATTATATACATATTATATATATTAATATTATATTAATATTATATTAATATTAATATTATATACATACATCTTTTATTACAATTTTTACTTTCTTTTTTTTTTTTAATACGACATATACAATATATTTTAATTGCATTTAAAACATTTTTTATTCGTAAGAGTTGTTTGTATCTAAGGGTTAACTCACTTGGACGGTTTAGCGTGATAAACGGGAAATATATTTTTGGAGAGTTTTATGTTTAGGCAGTTATGTGTGCATTTTTCCATTGATCCCGAGAACCGGAATGTCGTCATACGAGGCATGAAAATAGGCCTTGGATACACTATTTGACGTAAAAATAAAGATAGTCGAGAAAGCCAAGAATCAACATACATACATATACATACATATGTGTATATATATATATATATATATACATATATATATATATATATATATATATACAA